TTTAATATTTATTAAAAACTTAAATATCCATAAAAAGAACTTTATTAATCAATCAATATATATATATATATATATATATATATATATATAATATATATATATATAACTTTGTCCGGGTGTGTGCGCCTTAGCATTCGTTCAAGTGAGAGACTATGTGGTTATAGTTCCATGATTATAATCATTATACAATAAAGAAGTGATGCACTTAAATTTCCATGCTTGAGATGAGGACATGTATTCGTATTGGGCTACAAATAACGAGCATTATAAAATGTATTTCCCATTAACAATTCTAGAATATATTTAGAGAATAAATTAAAATAATTTTTCATAATCATTTCAATGATTGTGAATATATATATATATATATATATATATATATATATATATATATATATATATATATATATAGCTGTGTGTGTGTCTTTGTGTGTGTCTTTCTGATAAAATATACATTTAATATATCCTATACAAGTGATAGAGCATAGGTCAATATGAAATCAACACCCAGTGGCAACAGTCTGTTTCATGCTTAGAAGCAATCATCATGACACATATATATATATATATATATATATATATATATATATATATAGAGAGAGAGAGAGAGAGAGAACAAAATCTATTACGAGAAGCAAGGCATTATAATACATTTGAGTTGACTAACATTTGTCACTATGTTGCATTTGACACTATGTTGCATTTTACTAACACTTATTAGCTCCCTTGCATTGTGGCTGCGTGTTCATAAAATACCTTGACCACAAAGTTAATTTAAAATTTTACAAAACTACCCACCACAACAATTTCATTAAGTTTGACTTCACAATACAACCCTGAAGATAAGATCGAATGCACTTCCATTTTGAATTTCATCTTAACACCAAGAGTATTAGATAACTAGAAGATATTATTATAAAAATAAATATATATAATATGTTTATATTATTTAATTAAACATCATTCAATGGAGATATGCTGATTATATATATATATATATATATATATATATATATATATATATATGTGTGTGTGTGTGTGTGTGTGTGTGTGTGTGTGTGTGTTTTTGTGTTAGTGTGTATGTTTAGTCTTGGAGCGGGTAGAATGGAGATCAACATGTTTTGACTGGACTCAGCAGTTTTCAAACTGATTCTCTGATTCGTCTTCAAGAAGCGAGAGCAAGATCTAAAATGTCATCCAAACTAACAGTGATCTAATCCCACAATCCTCAGTCTTGCTCCATATGCGGCCTCCCTTGTAAATCACTAGCGTGTATTAAGTGACAAAATTATCGCACAAAAATTCATAACTGAATCAACTGGTTAATTTTTCAGATTCTCATACGTCGAAACCCACGAGTGAGTCCATTATATATATATATATATATATATATATATATATATATATATATATATATATATGTATGTATGTATGTATGTATGTATGTATCTATTTAGTGTCTTGGTGCAGTAAATCATTATTTAAACATATATTGTTAAATTTAACAGACAATGAATGTCTATTATATTTTGTCATGCGTCGTTCTAAACCTCGTATTGTTGCTAGATATAATCATACATAGAGTATGTGCTTTCCCCGTATTTTCGATTCAATTTAATTTTTCCATCAATATCTTCCAATGATTAACCTCTTCTATAACAACAAATTCTATGTTAATTATTTATTCTTTCCTATTGATCATGTGCACATGATAAGCATGTAATAGCATAAAATGTCATTTGCACTTCTATATTATGTTTCTTTAATCTACGTTCTAAGCGTATAATTATTCCTTTTTAACCCCCCCCCATTTAAATGAGTTGTAAATTCTTCAGACACAAATACTTAAAATATTAAACGTTCATATTGATATGTCACGTGGTACGTCATCTCAAGCAGTTTTGCCACCCATTGTTTACCGAGGAAGAATTATTTGGCAGACATCTATTTCTCTACACTTACAATAAATGTCTTGCCACGTTTAGAGGACAAGTGCCATTGTCTGTCTTACAGCTCATGACGACCGTCTATTGACTAGAGGAATATATCATCAGTCTCTTGCAGGAGATTTGGAGACTCAAAGTGACGCCGTCCTCGCTTCGTTGATCAACTCTGGGATAAATGAAAAGAAATGAATAGGAGACATTTAAAGTGACCAATTCACTTGGTGATAAACTGTGGAGTTAATTATACGAATGATAATTAATGCTCTTTACTTATTTAGACGCTATGGATGGCAGAGGTTTTCAAGATCACATACCTTTTATAATCCCTGTGTTAACTTCTGAACCATCAATAGAAATGTTATGTTCTGTTACTTGACTTTTTTGTCGGCTCTCGAATTTAGAAGAAATTTTGCTTGATTTTTTTTCTGTTTTAATTTCTGTAATTAGGTGTTATTTACATGTAGTCTATTGTTCTACACTTTGGTCTCGCTATTACAATGTTCCTGTTAGATTATCTGAGGAATAATTAATACTTTTCTGTTTGTTATATTTAAACTTTCTCTTTACCTAATACCAACATTATAACTTAATGTAAAAAATAATAATTTTATTGATAATAATTTTGACACTTAGATATTATATTCCATTAATATTTTAATATATAATTAATTTCATATATATAAGAAATGTAAGAAGAAAATTATGGCGAATAACATTCAGTGGATTATATTTCCTAATGTAGTAAACTTTCTAAAACTTGTTATCATTTCCGGTATTATTATACGAACATCTTTGTGTGGAAGTTGTCAAAATACATATTTACATAGATATATTATCATATATATAAAAATATATATTTTTGGAAACTTCTATAAGTCGTACGTAATTCAGTTGATATTCACCTACGCATCATAAGTATTTGTTATATCCGTAATTAATTTAATATCAAACTATGTTAAAATCATTATTATAAACACCGGAGGTTCTTACATTTCGGAAAACCAGTAGAATAATGGCATATGTGAAATAAAACGTTTCATCTGTCCCGAATAATTATGACGACTATATTTGGTGTCTCGATATTTTTTAGGCAGCTGTTACCTTCAAAATCACTTGTGTGTACTTTCCTTTTTCATTATTCTTATTTATAAATGAGTTTCTATTCATTGTTAGTGAAACGAAAAAAGTGTAATTAACATGTGATGTTACAATATTTCCGACATTCATTGAGCAAATATAAACATGTCGAACTACACTGATATGCTGTCTTTCTTTCTTGGACAAATTTAATGAAAAGAAGTTAACATTGTTTTCGAAGATGTTTTCGTTTAATCTTAAGTGTTCTGTCAAAGTTTATGAATGAAAAACATATATATATATTTTTGTAATTTTGTCTTTCGATTATTTTATTCAACTCATTTTTATTTTCATTAATTCGTTTCTAAATATTTTATGTCTGTATTTCTGAGACTATGACTTTTTATTATTGCATTATATATAGTCAGACAGATGTGCGCATAATTGTTGTTCATAACAATACTTTGACCTTTCTCTTCCCAGGATTTCGTCACGTATTTGTCCCACCTGTAGATTTTAAACTAAATATAAAGTTTAAAATATAGATGTATATTGTTCCTGCCGCTATGTCAACATCCAGAGATATTTTCTCTTATGTTTCCATTTAATCAGTATTCTTCAGTTGCTTCTAATCTTGTATCTATGTGTCTGAGTATCAAATCACAAGAGTTACAATTACTATAATTACTCGGGATTAAATTAAACTAGAATAATATGTTTTAATTAAAATTTCCTTGCAATTCTTTTGCTGATGTAGACTTCCATCTAAGTTTGATTCTAGTTGCTGTCGTTTCACTTTCATAAGTTTGTTGAAAGATTCTTTTCAAACCAGTCGTTCTCCGCCAAGGTCTCTCACTATTAAATATTCATTAATGGCACCCATATTGCATTCATAACCTTGCTAGGCCTACTGAATAGATCTTCATTGAAGAAAACCAAAATGTAAAATATTTGAATATTTGGGTTAATATGAACAAATATAAGGATTTTCTGATTGTAAATAATGCTAACATATTCCATCAATTTTATTTCATCGCTTTTACTTTATTGGTTTCATTTTCCTTTTATTTTCGACATTGTGTCCTTTCTATTATTATCCATATTATTTCCATCATACAATGTGGCAGGCATCACTCTTTCTTTCCATCTTCATGTTCACCATTTGCATTTTCATCAAATCCTTTAAATTTTCTTTCTAATTTCCTTAATTGTTCAGGTTCTGAATTTATTATCCCGTTTTAACCTTCTTTGATATATTTCCCATATGCTTTCCTATACACCTTCTTAATTATATTTTTCCGCATTTTTTCCTTTATTTTGTTTATTCGTTTTTATATAATTTTCTTTTAATTCTTTATTGATTTTTTTTTTGTATTTGTATTGAAATATTTAGTATATATTCTTTCATCCAGTCTCTTTTTATATTCCTCGCCTTCATTTTCTTTCGATTTTAGTTTAAACTTATTGGTTTATTTAATTTACTTATCTTTTCTTTTAAATTCTCTTCACTGCTTCATAATCGTCTATTCATTATTATTACCTTCCTTTCTTTTTAATATAATTATTCTCGCTATCATTTTTATGTAATCCCTTGGTACTATATTTTCTTAAATGATTGCTTTAGAATTTCGTTAATTGTTCATATACTGAATTTATTGTTTCGTTTTATCCACCTTTCATATATTTCAGATATGCTTTCCTACACACTTTCTGAATTATATTTTTCCGTTTTTTTCTTTAATTTATTGAATCCTTTTTATATCATTGCTGGTTTATTTTTATTGAATTTGTTTGTGTTTGAATTTAAATATATAGTATATATATTTTTTATCCAGTCTCTTTTTCATATTCCTTGGCTTCATTTTCTTTCGATTTGAGGTCAAACTTATTGGTTTATTTAATTTAATTTTCATTTCTTTTAAATTCTTTTCTCGGCTTCATAATCTTCTATTCGTTATTATCTTACTTTCTTTTAATATGTTTATTCTCCCTATTATTTTTATGTCATCTCTTGGTACTTTATTTTCTTTCATGTTTCCTTTAGAAGTAAGCATTGGTATATTGTTAGTACATTAATTTCTTTTTCATTCTTCCTTTCCTTCTTCTTACTTTCTTAATTTATTTACAATATTTAAATATTTTAAATTTTTGCTTCGATGTTTTTTAACATTGCTTTGATTTCTGTCCCTTTCTTTTCATTTTATTTATTCTTTTCTCCATTTTTTGTCGATTTACTTTGTTTTTTATCTGCTATTAAGATGTTTGTTCTTTAATTTCTTTGACGTTACTATAGTTTTTGATCACTTTGTTCTCTTCGTTCGACAGTTCTTCATTTTCTTTCTTTTCCTTTTCTTTCATTCGTTGGTTTATTGCTCAGACTCTTCGATTGATTTCTGTTTTCCTTCCTTTATTGTTCTTTCTTTTCTTTATTTCTTTTAATTCATTGGATCTTTGTTGCTCTTCATAATTCTTTCTTTTCTTTATTTCTCTTAATTCATTGGAGCTTTATTGCCATTAATCCTTCCTTCTTTTCTTTTTTTCTCTTAATTTATTGGATCTATGCTGGCCTTCATACTTCTTTCTTTTCTTTATTTACCTTAATTTTTTTGATCTTTGTTGTCCTTAATCCTTCTTTCTTTTCTTTATTTCTCTTAATTCATTGGATCTTTGTTGCCCTTAATCCTTCTCTCTTTTCTTTATTTCTCTTAATTCATTGGATCTTTGTTGCCCTTAATCCTTCCTTCTTTTCTTTTAATTCATTGGATCTTTGTTGACCTTAATCTTTCTTTCTTTCTTTGCTTTTTTTTTGCATTATTCCCTTCATTTATTTTGCTTTATTATTTTTATTCTTCCCCTCTTTGATTTCCTTCCTTTTGCATTTCATTTGTTTTTTTACTTCTATCGCCTATTTTAATTTATTTCTTTGCTTCTTTTAATCATTCTTAATTTCCCCTTTTACATATTCTATTTTTTTCTGTTCTCTCCCATCCTTCATATTCCTTAATTTGCCTCTCCTCATTTACTCTTAGCAATTTAACTTCTTTCTACCAGAGAGAATTAATAAAATATGCTAGACATGCCACTTCCAACCAATATCATTCTTCATTATTCAATTCAGTGACTTACATTTGTGGACCACGAATCAGTCGATTCTTGTTCTGAGTTTTGTTCAGTTCAATAATCAGTTGGCAGTAATTTAAGCTTCTTCTTAAATAATAAGATTTGTAAGACAATTTATATAGGACTTACCCTGACAAGATTATTGATGTCGTGTTATTATCGGTAGTTTATTACGAAGGAGATCTATCAAATTAATTTCCCATTCTCCACTCACAGCTAATCTTCTCAATTCTAACCCTACGTAGGTTCTGTACAAGCAGACTTATATTATTGAATTTAATGAACATTATTTGATCTTCTTCGAAAATATAGTGCACATTTCTTTCTTTCTTTATTTATTTACTTCTCTCTTTACTATCTCCCCCCTCTCTCCCCCCTCTCTCTCTATCTCTCTCTGTCAATGAGAAAGGCATGGTTAGGAACAGTGATGAAGATCGACAGAATTACGTATCGCAATGGTAATATTATATGCTTCCTTATGAGGAAACATTTACCATTCGTTTACCGGGCAGTCACTAAAACACCACTGCTAGTATAAAAGAATCGTTCTCCTGAAATAGTTCCTCATTATGAAAATACGTTCCTTATAATACGTTCACTAGGTGTTACCACTCTTTCTAGTATTGATGTGTGTTTTCTATCCTATTTTGTTTGTTTGAAGTATTGAGTACCTCGCCAATTCTTTCATGTTATTATCTTCTCTTCCAGTTAAATTCATTATCCATTTTAATTGGAAGACACGCATTTCAAATATGTAAGAATTAACTTTGCTTAACAGTGAACCCAAATGAAAATCTTATCAGTTGATAGTTATAATATCTACGGTTTACATATAACATGTAACAGATAAGCGACACATAAATTTATCCACATTATTAAATATGCGTATATGCCTTTGAATGCATTCGCCTTCCATTCTACTCGAAAAGAAATTGAGAAGCTACGCATGCACACATAAAAACAAATAATTAATATATGATAAAGAGTGTGTAACAACACTATATAATATAGTCGGTTTATAACTGCATCCATTCCTACACAATTATTTCTACTGAACAGCTTATATATCCTAACCGTCACCGCCCACCCAGTAACCGTTGGGATAATACAATAGACCCTATTATTCATAATGACCCATTGACCTGCATATATAAATAGTTGAGCCAAAAAACGTACGGACACACACACACACACATATTATTTTTTTATAACACTAATATTTTATGACTTGTTCGGGTATTCATTTCTTTTCAAATAAATGATGACACATATCACGTTAACTCGGCAAATAAAAAGACACGTGGTTATCATTTCGTTAAAGTGATTTAGATATTGCCCGCTTCCTGAAAAAATTGTACGGTAATATATATATATATATATATATATATATATATATATATATATATATATATATATATTGATTGATTGCTTGATTGATATCCCTTCTCAATTTCTTTTACTTATCTTTCCTTATTTATAATTTTTATTTTTTACCCACCTTCTCTGGTGACATCTAGTTTATTGTTATTTTATCACGGTTGAATGCGCGTATGAGTATGTGTGCTTATGCACGTGCGTGTATATGTGTGTCTATGCCTGTACACTTATGTATGCATACGTAAACACAAATATACACGTACGCACTCACTCGCATGTGTATGTTTGTGTACTTGTGTATGCGTATTTAATCGTGTGCCTGTGCTTATATTTGTTAATTTTTTTTTGTATTTGTTACTGTTTTTAATTTTTTTTTTTTTATCCCGTAACTCTGATGGAATCATGCATTCTGCAGCCACTATAGAATTGCTGTTTCTTGGTTAAAGATATTCTAACGGAACCCAAACCTGACCAGGCTTCTTCTGGACCGGTTCCGATCTGTCCTGATTATTTGCACATTGCTGAAGATGGGGTGGGGTGAAGGGTATTATCACGTAAGTGAATGTAATCGATCCGACTGGAATTCGAACTTGGCTCCTCGATTCCACAATCCGAGACGTTATCCATTACTCCGCTTTGCCTGCAAGTATACATACATACATACATACATACATACATACATACATGTAGGCAGTCGCCCAAGCATGTATGCGTGTTCGTGTGAGCGCGTCTAATTGTGTGTTTGTGTTAATGTGTACGCTTATGTGGGTGTTTTTTCGCATCCCTCTATGCGATCTCTTTTGTTTTCTTTTTTTCTTTTACTTTGCTCTTTTTTATTTCGTCTGTGTATGTGTGTGTGTGTTTGTGCGTGTGTGTGCGCGTGTGTGTGTGTGCGTGTGTGTGTGTGTGTGTGTGTGAGTATGTGTGTGCGTGTGTGTGTTGGTTGGTATTTGTTGACATAGTTATTGGTTTTCTTGGTTGTTTGTGTGTGAGATTGGTATGGATTATGTATCAGGTAATTTCTTTTTTGTGTGACATTGGATTGCGTTTTGTGTTGTATTTCTTTCTTCTCATTTTTATGTTAGTATTTTTGCGGATGTGTATTTATGTGTATTGTTTGTGAGTGTGCACGCATTCATGTATACATGTACTGCCCGTGTGTATTTGTGTGGCCGTGCGTCATTCTGTGTTTGTGTCTATGTGTGTGGTTATATGTGTGTACGTTCACGTCCATACAAGCGTTCCCTATTTTTAATTTAATATGCGTGTATTTTCGCGTTATTAAAGAGTGTAATTCGGGTAAATTTTGTTGGTTGCAATTTGTTGTCATTATGCTTAATATTTTCCGGGTTTTGTATTTGAGGTTGGTATGGATTAGAATTTACGTATAGTGGTTTGTGTTTGTTGTAAAATTGCGTTTCTTGCTCTATATCTTTATATATTTATATTTGAATGCATTTAGCAAAGAAGGTGTTTGCTTATATGTTTGCATTTCACCCTTATTATTTGTTTTGATTTTAAATAATAGTCACTTTTTTCTCTTCAGAATGAATTAGAGTTTCTGCTATTGTTACATGCATATTGGTAGTAATGTTACTTTGTTTCTGGTTTTACATGTATATTCAGTGTTGGTTGGTTCTGTATTTTCTGTTTTTAATGATAGTCGCTGATTATTGAATATTTCTTTGAAGGTTGTTTTTGTAGCTCATATGAAAGATTTTAATTTGTGTCGTTTGTTACGGCGATTTTATATATTATGTTGTTGGTTAGGCATTTGTTGTTAAGTGGACAATTCTTTTTTATTTCGACAATAGCCTTTGTTGCTTTTTTGTTAATTTGTGTTGTAGTTATTATTGACTTTTTTGAGTACTTTTAGTCTGTTTGATTATTATTTTTTCCATGTTATCCAAGTAGCTGTACCTGATTTGAACTATATTTTATTGATGATTTTATAGGTTGTTGCGTTTGGGTGAATTATTTTCGATTATTTTAAAGAATTCTTTTTTCTACTTTTATTTTAATGTATTATTGTAGGGTTGGTTGAAACAGATTATGTTTCTTTTTTATTGTTTTTGTTTTGTTTTTATTTGTATAACTTGATTTTATTCGAATAACCACTAATTCTGTTTCATATGTTTTCTTTGTTTTTGTTGATCTTTTAAAAATAATTTTACTGGAATGATTTGATATCAGTTTGTTATAGATATATATTTAGAGGTCTGTTGTTTTCTTTTCTGTATGGATTGTATGTTTCTCTTAGGTACTTTTTATATTTAAGAATGTTTTTATCTGCACGTTATACCTAGGTTAGTCCTTATGTCTATTTTAATCCTAATGGGTAGAAGATTTGTAGAATCTTTTTTTTAATTTTCATGTTCTACATTTGCAATTTCTTAAGACGTCATCTCTGTATAAGGCTATGTATTTTTGATTAATGATTTGTATAATTTTTTTGATGATGTATATGACTATGAGGGCGCATATTTTTGAGCGGTCATAGTCGCCCATTGTTACATCCATGTTTATAGTATTGATTTTCTGCAGTGTTTGATAATGTACAGAGCTTGAAATGTTTAAGTATTGATTTTCTGCAGTGTTTGATAATGTACAGAGCCTGAAATGTTTATGTATTGCTTTTCCAGATTTAGAGCAATGTTTAATGTATTTTCTTTGATAGATGGGAAAATTCTATTATGTTTAGTTGCAGGGAACATTTTTTCTTTGGTGATGTTGTTAAACCAGTTGTTTCTTTTGTATTTCTCCGTTCGTTTATGTTTAGTATGACCCTTAAATTTGTACATATTTTTTATAATTTTGGCTTGCTGATTTGGCTTTCCTGGAATTTATTAGTCTACAAATCGTTTTAATTAAGAAATGCTCTTTGTGATCTTTTAATTTCATGAATAATTCTACCTTCGGTAATTGTTTTATTCTATTGTCTAGTTTTAATTTCACGGCTATGGGTATAGCATCTTTGTTTAAGTTGTTTTCAAATTCATTGTTGCTGGTTTTATAGTATGTGCTGATCTTTTGTTTAATCTGTTTTGGTAGTTGAGTGTTTCTATTTTGTAGATGGTTCTAGATTTGTCGGCTTTTATATATCGTTTTCCGATTTGTTTATTAATTTTTGTCATCTTTCCATTATTTATGTAATATATATATATATATATATATATATATATATATATATATGTGTGTGTGTGTGTGTGTGTGTGTGTGTGTGTGTGTGTGTATTAAATAAAATAGTTATCATACGTCTACTTCTTTTCATAATAAT